GCCGCCGCCCACAGCTGGCCTCCTCCCCACGCCCTGGGGCAAAGGCATCTGTGAGGTCCCAGCCCTCTCCCTCTGCCCCCCTCTGCCCGGTGACCAAGTTCCTCCGGGGTAGCTTCCAGGCAGTCACCAGGCTCCCTTATGCAGCTGCCACATGGCCACAGCAGACTCGCACAGAAAGGGACTGCCGGGCGCCGGCTGGCCAAGGGAAGAGCCAGCACGGTGCAGCGATGCCACCACCGCCTGGTGCCCCTGTCCTTGGCACGCTCCTGCTGCTGCTAAATGAGCAGCTACATAGAGCCTACACACGAGGTGGCTGAGGACTCCGGCCACAGTGAGGGCCCCACTCTCGGTCCCATTCCTGGGCCAACAAGCACCAGCCCACCCCCTTCTGCTTCACCCTGGCACTCTGGACACCTGGTAGAGAAAATCAAAGCACTCACTGTCTTCTCCGGGACAAGGCATGCCGGGCTGCTCGGGGATGCTCGGGAAAACTGGGCAGAAAGAAGGCGGGCAAGAGCATTAGTGGACTTGTCGGTGCCCCACAGGCCTCCTAGTCCTGCAAGGGTCCCCGGGGCAGTTCCTGGGTGAAGCCTCCTGTCCGGCAAGCCCACTCTGGGAGGTTCTGAGAGCCACTGAAAATCCAGGGGAGAAGGCAGTCAGGGCCTCCAGACCGCTGCCAGCGTGCAGCTGCTGACTGCGCAGACCAGCACGGGAAGGCGGTGCAGTCACCTTGCAGGGTGCCACTAGGCCCCACCGCCACACATACTCAAGCTCAAAATTAACTATTTCGAGATACACCCTAGGCCCGGGATATAGCTCAGCAACACCACAGCTGCCTGGCAAGTGCCAAGGCCTGAGTTCAATTCCTAGCACAAAAAATTATATATATAACTCGGTTAAAACAAGTATTTCCTTACTCATAAAACTTTTAAGGTACCTTAGCTTCTATGGCAGGAGGCCAAATGAATGCATCTGTCATGCTAATAAATAAGTGGCCTCAATCAGGGCTCAACTCTAGAACTACATTTACATGAGGGCTAAATAGGTAAGCTAACCAACTACTCAGATTCAACACCTGGCACAGGACCCTACAGAAACGGAGTGAACAAGAGGGTCGGGGGACAGAACTGCCAGTCCAGACACCATGGAACCAGACAGGCCAGCCCTAAGCCCAACACTGAAATGCCCAAACTGAAGGCTCCCCAAGGGCACACACGGCGCTGGTTTAGAAAGTCGAGCTTCAGTCCTTGGCACCAAAACAGAAAACAGCAGGCAGCTGCCCGGGGCCCCCACACCGCCCGCACGTGCCAGGGCCTGGCTGGACGCTGTCCCCTCTCAGAGTAGGTGGGCTCGTCACTCACCGTGGAGAATCAGCTCTTCATCCTTGTGCTGACAGGCCAGGCGGAAGGCCTCCTCCAGCTCCATCTGGGAGGACACGGTACACGGGTCCCCTGGGCAGGGCGAGAAGCACAATGAAGCCACCATGGTGAGGGCAGCGAGGGTGGAGTAGCACCGGCTCTGCACTCAGCCACGGGCTAGGGTGGCCACTGCCACGGCTGATGACTGGCCACCCGGTGCAGGCCCTAGAGGCCAGCTAGTGGCCAGCTCAGGAACCCAGGGGAGGGCCAGCTGGTCCCAAAAGGGAGCCTGGTCACCTGCAGCCTGGAGGGGCCTGGGGAGCACAGCAGCCAGCATGACAGAGACCCTTCTCCGGGGTCAGTCCAGACCACAGGAGAGGCTCCTGCCCTCTGGGCAACTACAGCCGCACACGGCCACCCTGGGATGCTCACACTGCGTGGGTCCGTGCCGTCAGCCACGTGGAACCATCTTTAGACATGTGTCTGGGACTGAGGACAATCATGGGAGAGAGAAAAGGAAACAGATGGAGAAAAACAGAGAGGACAGAGAGAGAGAAAAAGAGACCGAGAGATGCCAGGAAAATGGACAGGTGGATGCTCCGGCCTGGCTGAGCGTGGCTGCCTCTGTCTGTGGAAGCAAGAGCTCACCCTTCCAAAACGACCTCCCAGGAAAGCCAGGAGCCCCGGGAGGGGCGAGGGGTGGGTAAGGACCTTCCCACATGGGGCTTCACCACCTCTTGTGCACTCGAGGCCAGTGTGCTCACAGCAGGGACATCCTGCCCAAGGGCCACCTTGCCTCCCCTCTCCTGCCTGGGCTTCCACTGATGCCCAGCTGCCTCTCTTTCGAGCAGTCTTGGAGAAGCAGCCCTACTGCCTCAGCCCCACACCCTCTGCAGGTCAGCTGGGGAGCACGGGCTACCTTCACTATCCACCCACTTGAGGGTGAGTGGGTGCTGTGGGTGCAGGCCGCACATGTCCCGCACTTCTTCGCAGAGCTCGTGGAAGGTCATGGTGGCATCCACGCTGGTGATCAGGATGTCCCTGCCGCAAAGAGGACACGGAGTAATCAGGGCCACACACTTGACTTCTGACCAAATGATAGGCTGGAAAAATGAAATGAAGGTTTCCCGAAGACAACAGGGCAGCGGCGCCCTCAACACGAAATGTCAGCGGGTCCGCTGGGTGGCGCCCCCTAGTGTAGCCCGGGCAGCTGTACCTCCTTCCAGTTCACAAAGGTGGCCCAGGTGTGGACTCTAGCACACTGACTCAATCATACCTCAGCCCCTTTTTTGCTTTCGGTCTTTTTTGAGACAGGGTCTCAGTGCAATTCAGGCTGGCCTTGAGCTCATTTTGTAGCCCACACTGGTCTCAAACTTGCAACGATCCTCTAGCCTTAGTCTCCCGAGTGCTGGGATTACAGGCGTTTATTTTGGGAAAGGGTCTTCCTAAATTTCCCAGAGTGGGCTTGAACCTGCAGCCCTCCGGCTTCAACCTCCCAGTGCCCTAGAGTTACAGGCGATTAGCACCTGTCCCTTCTCAGAAGCAGTGTTTTCGTTGGTTTGTTGTTTTGTGAGTACCAGGAACAGAAATCAGTACCTCCTGCTTGCCAGACAGGTGCTGTGCCCGGAGCTATATCTGCATCCCAGAGGCAGCATTATTTAAGCCCTCCGAGGAAAGACTTGATTGATCTCAGCGTCTCAACTGTGACAAAATTCCAAGAACTTTTTTGAAAGCTGAATCACCCATTGTCATGCCCCTTTCTCTTTTCACCTCAAAATGGAATCAGAGCCAGGATGTCAGGGGACGCTAAGATTCTCAGGCGCCTGTGCAGGCCTGCCGTTCCTTGCTGAAGGGCCCTGCTGCCACCTCTGGGTCCCAGGCAGGGAGGGACTCGCTCAGGTGCGACTCATTTTCACTTTACCACTGGCCAGGAACCAACCACCCCAGCCCAGACAGCAACCCCAGCTCTCCGGAGCCTGACCGCTCTGGAATGCCCCGGACAGCAAGAGCAGGAGTTAGGGGCGCTGGGCGTCACAAGTTTTTGTACATAAAACTACTGTCCCAAGACAATAAACACAGAACAATTAAGACCCAGTGCCTCCTGAAGGGCACCCAGCAGGCTACTGCACGGCCAACCACAGACAGCACCTGGCGCCTGCCCCAGAGCCAGCGCTCTCCACACGGACTGACCCCGTCCTGCCCACAACCTTGGGATCTGAGGGGGAAGACACTGAGACCATCAGACAGGCTCGCGCCCCAGACCTGGCAGCTGGCCTAGCTCAGACCTGGTGTCCGTCCTGCATGGCACATGCCAGCCCTGCCTGGCCCCAGCCTCCAGACGTCTGGGTCTGCACCCCTTCACCTTTGACCTCTTCCTGTCCTGCCCAGAGGGGACAGCTGGGCACTCAATGGGGGGTGGTTGCTTATCTCCAGTCTGGGCAGCCTGGGGGACAGGAAGGGGATGGGACAACAAACTCCCTCCCCAACCATCTCCTGTGACGTAGTCAGCTTAAGATGTATCTTACAAAAATGTGCACTTACACTGAGCTGTGAAAGACCTTCTAGTTACATCACAGTGATGCGTCTTTATCACAGCTTATAGTTTATCACAGTGATATAACTAAAAGGTCTTTAGTTTACCACAGTGATGTGCACTTATCACTGAGCTGTGAAAGACCTTTTATTTCTGCGGAACCAGGGACTGAACTCAGGCCCTTGCGCTTGCCAGGGAAGCGCTTATCCCACTGAGCCTGAAAGACCTTTTAGTTATAAACAGTTTGCAGCTGTGTCAAATAAATGCAGTTTCTGTCGTTCTGCGCTAGATAACAAGTTTGCTTACCAAGCTGGATGTGATTTCTGTTACAACTACCCCCTGCTACCTACCTCCTGCGAGAGAAGTGGCTAGCAGACCTGAGCTCAGCAAATAAAAGGCTCCATTCAAATTTCTATCTGGCTGACCTGGTTCCTATGCAGAGTGACCCATAACATTGTCCATCTCATGAAAGACACCGGGGCGACCTGGACCCTGTACGGGTCACCCAAATCCACGGCTTCCATTCTGAAGGGTGGCCACTGTAAACTCCTCCCCACAGCACTACCCGAGTCAGTCAAACCCCTGGAAGGAGACCCACAGTCACTTCCGGGGAGGGGAGAGGACAA